CACTGCCAGACTCCAGACTCCCACTGCCCGACTCCAGACTCACACTGCCAGACTCCAGACACACTGCCAGGGTTTGGCCTTCAGTTCTGCCACTTAATTTTCTTAGTTCTGTAAACCTGTCTCCTTGCCTGTAATATGAAGTCAATTGTAGTGCTGTTGAGAATATTAATTGACATCATTCCAGAAAAATTCTTAGAGCAATCTCTAGGACAAAAATATCATTTAACTAAGCTATTATGGGCAGGTCTTCCATCTCATTTAGAAAGTTGAAAAGATCGAGAAGAGAAAATGCCTTTGGGAAAACCTCAAGAAAAGAGGCTCTTCATGCTGTGCTTGTGAAATTTTAAAGTGGTATAGTGCTACAGTGTCCAGGAGAAGAATGTGCTCTTCGTTGTGGGAACTGAGGACCGGGAAGAGAGTGCATGCAGACAAATTCTCTATGCTCATGCTTGAGGAGCCTGGGAGCCAGGATTCTGGGTGGAGGGAGCCGCCTTCATGTTTGTGACTTGGAGAAGAGTGAGCATCATGATCACATTCTCATAATTAAAAATCATCTCCACAATATCCTCCCATAATAGTGCTACCTTAATATTACTACTTACAAGCACATGGCTAATTATGATGCAGTCTGGCAGCCCTTATCTATAGGAGCAGACATGTGACTATTGTCCCCCTTCCTCAAGGGACAGTCAACTCCCTTCTACCTGCCCCACCACTGGTATTAGGTTGATCCCCCAATGAACTCAGACACATCTAGTTCAGGACACTGTTCATCTTGTTACATATGTGGTTGTGTGTAGCTAAGGGGCCTTGTATGTCCTGAGGCGATATAAATTGGTGAAAGAATACAATCTCTCTCTCTCTCCTGATCCTGACCCCATGGAGGAGGTGAACACACTATCTTCTCTCTCATTCTCTTTTATGTCTTCTTAATTTTACAATCATTCCCTAGAACCAATTCAATTGTTGGGGGCTGGTATCCTCCCGCACTTAGTAATAAACCACTGCTCTGCTAAATAGAATTCATTTCTCATATTTTTCACTCATGAATCAGAGATCTCTTTATATTATCTTAAGATGTTGAGATAATGTATTTGTAAAGAAACATGAAAGGACTGAGGTTTGTGTAAGATCTGGGAAACAGACAAGGTTCAAATACAGGTTCACATCTTTGGGCAACATAAGTACCCATCTCCTTGACTTATAGTTCAATGTGAAATCATTTTTAAAAATTTAAAACATTAAGATCTAAGCAATACTAAGTTGTCGCCTGCTGGCCTCCCTTCCTGCTTGCCTTCTTTCCTTCTTACCTTTCTTCATTCTTCATTTACTTTTAAATTCACAAGCTCCATCTTTTAAGCATCATAGAATGAAAAGTATTATATTACTTAATTTAAAAGTGTAGTTACTGTACATGATTTAACCCAACCGGCTACCACTGAGTCAATTTTAACTTGAGTCACCCCATAGGACAGAGTAAAGCTTTCCATAGTTTTTCAAGCCTGTAAATCTTTACAGGTGCAGATAGGCTGATTTTCCTGTTGTGGAGTGACTGATGGGTTTGAACCTCCGACCTTCAATTAGCTGCCCAAGGTTATCCCACAGTCGTAATAGAGCTCTTTCTTCTTTCATCGTAAGTATTTTTAAATCGTTTAAGGACATAACATTTTTATTCTGACTTATGAATTATATATTTTTCTAACCACATCATGAACCTCATTTGTTTAAAATGTTTACCATTAAAATTAGGCATGATTTACAAAAGTGTCTACTGGCTTGTTTCCATTTGTTTCAATATTTTCCTTTAAATTCAGCATACTTACTACTTTTCATCTAAACATCAGAAAAACGAAAAGAAATTTGAGAGAGCTAATTTAATTTTCCATTAGCAAAATTTAAGATAAGGATGCTAATCTTTGTTGTTAACTGCTCTAAAGAAGTTTTGGAGAATGTGTGAAATGTTTTGAGTTGATT